TACTTCCGTAGTGATACTGCCTTGGAAACCCAAGGAGGGGTCGCTATGAGTCGGGTTTGACTCGACGGCACATAACAACAACAACAACAAGGTCATTTCCAAAGTAGCTGTACTATTTTATTTTACATTCCCATCAGTAACATACAAGGGTTACGTTTTTTCCCATCCTCACCAACAATTACTATTGTTGTCTATCTTGTATTATTACAGTCATTGTAATAGGTGTGAAGTGGTATATCACTGTGGTTTTAATTTACATTTCCCTAATGATGAAAGATGATGAGTATCTTTCATGTGCTCACTGGCCATCTATATATATTCTTTGGTGGAATGTCTGTTTAAATATTTTGCTCATTTTTAATTGGGCTGTTTGTCTTTTTATTATTGACTTACAACAGTTCTTTAAAGGTTCTGGATACAAATCTTTTTGTCAGATATATACTGCAAGCATTTTTCTAGTCTGTAGTTTTATCTAATTATTTTCTTAATGGTGTCTTTTGATGAACAGAAATTTAGAATTTTTATTACATCCAATTTATCTTTCTTTGTATATTGTTTTTATGGTTTATACTTTCTGTAGTCTGTGTAAGAAAAATTTGCCAATCTCAAAGTCATGAAAGTTGTCCTATGTTTTCTTCTGAAAGCTTTGTTACAGTTTTTATGCTTAGGTCTTCGATCTATCTCAAATAATTTTTGGGGTATGCAGTGAGGCATGTTGTTGTTGTTTTTGTTATGTGCCATTGAGTCGGACCCAACTCATATTGACCCCCTCCTTGGGTTTCCGAGGTGGTATCACTACAGAAGTAGATTGTCCAACCTTCCTTCTGAGGAATGGCTGGTGGGTTTGAACTGCCAGCCTTCTGGTTAGCAGTCAAGTGCCTTAGGCACTATGCTACCAGAGCTCCCATACAGTGAGGCAAAACTGAGGCTTATTTTTACACAAAAATATCCAATTCCTCCAGTACTATTTGTTTTGTCATTGAATTCACTTGGAACATTGCTTAAAAATCAATTGACCATATATGTGTGCATTTATTTCTGGACTCTGTTCTGCTCCACTGATCTAACTGTCCATCCTTATGCCAATACCACCTGTCTAACTAATTACTGTAGTTTTAGAGTAAGTCTTCAAATTTGGTAGCCTATGTCCTCTAATTCTGTCCTTTTTAAAAACTGTTTGGTTAATTAGAGTCTATATTTTCATATACATTTACGAATTAGCTTGTCAAATACTTCAAAATAGCCAGTTAGGATTTTGATTGGGACTGTGTTAAACCTAGATATCAATTTAGGGAGAATAGGCATCACTGATGGCAAACAACAACAACAACAACAACAATAGTGAATTATCCAATCTATGAATATAGTATTTATCTTCAAGTATTTTCCAAAGCAAACAAACCCATTGCTAATGAGTTGATTCTGACTCATAGGAACCCTGTAGAACAGAGAACTGCCCCATAGGGTTACCAAGACTATATATCTCTACAGAAGTAGACTGCCACATCTTTCTCCTGAGAAGCAGGTTCATACTTCTTTCAGTTAGCAGCCAAGTGCTTAACCACTGTACCACCAGGACTTTCAAGTATTTAAAAAAAAAAAAAAAA